TGTTGAGAATATGCTCGCGTATCCCAAGAGCTTTAGCTCTCTTTCATCGATAAATTATTTGAGGAAACAGATGCAACACATGTAAAAGGCAAAATTTACGGTGAGATAATATTATGGAATTGAGAAAATCTAAAACCCTCAAATATAAATTACTGAGTTACAAATAATGCAATGTAAATTTTGCAATAATGTTATACGATTAAAGTGATTTATCATAAAATTTCTTACACCGAATTCTTTTTAATATTTTTTTGCAATATTAGTAAACATTTTTATACAAATTTTGAAATATATATGTATGAATGTATTTGTTTGCATCCGTTTCATTTTTGACGCGCGAAATCAGGAAATCATTGATGGACGCTGAAAACAAGGTCGCATATTGAGATCCACTGAAGTCCAGTGGCTGTCCGCAAGAATTTGTCCGGTCAAGAGGGACGGAAGCGGTTGGTTTATCAATCCACCCCCTTCCTGGAGGATGGCAGATCCTGACCGAACAAACGGACGTTAGAGCGGGGAGCTTGGCTTAGTGCGGTACTGGAAAGCACTTGATCTTAGGAGCAACCACCTCTATGGGCAGCTCAAACTACGCCAACCCAAGCTCCCCCTTTCCCTCCTCTTCTATCCCGGTGGTGGTTTTGCTCGTGCCGAGAGGGTTAAAGGCCGACACGCCAACGAGTTGGGTAAACGCCATTTAATAGAGGACGGTAATGTCATCCGTCCAATTTGTGAACAATTTGGTTCGATGTCTTTTTGTTTAGCGTAGCGCGTGAGTTTTGCACAAAGCAAAATAATTAGCAAAACATTTCTCGGGGTACATTAGTTACATGTAACAATGTATGCATAAAAAGACGTCAATATTTTATTTCGACTTAATATTTTCATCGATCTACACAGATTCAACAGATTCAATTATATGCAATTTTTATATGCAATTTATATGCAATTTATAGTGCAATTTTTTACTAATGAATAAAACTACAAAACACTTATGTACATAATATTGATGTGTAAAATTTAAATGCATTGCTACATAAACTTTAAATTTATTGCTATATAAGCGAGATAAATTAATATGAAAAATAATTCGATATTATTAACATTAGCTCGATATCATTGTTAATTAATTTATAATTAATATAAGCAAGTAGAAAGAAAAAGAAACAATTTTAATTTATATTTTAGTTTATAACAAATTGCAATACCATCAATGCGATAAAAGCCTCGTATATAAATTTCAACTTAATTGAAACTCAAATATTACATACAATATATTGTATATTTTATCATTTTACATATATATTTTATCTCGCGATATTACTTCTAGAGATTGCATAGCGAGTTCGTAGATATTGCGCTAATGATCAAGAATATCCCGTCAAGTTTTGAATATCGCCTCCGACGAGACGCTCGTCAAGTAAGAGACGGGACGTTTTCAATGCCTGATTATGGCGTCGGACATGGCCGCGTCAATTCATCTCCCGAAGAGAAAAGGCTCCCCCGCGATCCAACCGTGTCAGATATCCTGCCAGGAATCGTTGCTCAGGTGAAGCGCGAAGTCGGAAGCCCTTTTCTATATTATTCGCGATGAATAACGAGACCACTCAGTCATTCCCTCCAATTTAAGTGTAACGAGCCACACCGATACATTCCTTCTTATTCTTTTTCCGGGTCTCCGTTCTCCTCCCCTACTTACCCAACCCATTTCCTGCCACCCCTCCCCCCCTTTCCGCTCCCCGACGTGATGTAATCCCGCACAATCCAGACATTTTTCACCATTACTCGAGCGGTCGTAGCGATGGCGGGCAAATAATTAATTTCTCACGGAACTAACGAGCGCCGCTTTTCTTTTCAAGCCGACGGTGTATTCTATATCATAACCGATTCAAGAAGAAGAAGAAGAGAAACGGAAATACAGCGTAAAAAAGATGGTGCAAAGATAATCGCGCAACAATATCAAAATTTCATCTTATTTAAATCCTTTAAATTTATATGAGAATTGATCGATGATCACCAGCTTGCGGAAATCTCATATAAAAATAAAAATTTTTTCAAATATTCTATTTAATCTTATTATGGTTGTTCTTATGATTTCCAACATGGAATTCGGTGTTATTAGCTGTTAGCTCTCGATTTCCGATACGAGAACCCGTGCGACGCGAAACACTTTAGTTTAGTGTAAATTTCCAAAGCCATTCGCATAATCGGAGCTTCTTCCGGGGACGAGGGGGCAATACCGTGTTCCTTACGAGGGTGCCAAAGCACCCGAAGGGTAGTTTGGAGGTCGAAATAGAGGTGGGGGTTGTTTCACGATAGTTTGGACGATCTATGACCCGAGTTCGCTAAGAGACCACGAAAGGGTGGATTTACTGGTCCGTCCCGCGTTCACACCACACAAATTCAAGTGACCGTCCGGACCCCCTTCCCTTAGTCTCGTGCGACTTACGTCTACCGAACTATTTCCCCGTCGTCGACCATGAATCGCCACGACGTCCGATGTTCGCCGGAAGCGAACGCTCACCACACTAATCTGCGAACTAGGATCTTGCCAAGATTGCAAAACGATACTTTATTAGTACCAAAAAAAAAACATCTTGATAGCAAACAAATCTTTTGTGAATAAACCGCCATATAATGTGCAATATTGGATAAATTATTAGTCAAAGTTAAAAATCGATACATTTTGTAAAATATTAAATATATTATAATAAACATAAAACCCGTGAACATAATATTTTTATTTACGAATAAAGTATACGATCTCAACAATGCCCGACTCTAACAAAGTAACTCGAATTCAGGATAAACGCAATGATGACGATAGACTCACAGGCATCACGATCTAAATAGCTGATCGCGAAGTCGACGGCACATCGTTAACGTTGATTTAATCACGAGTGAAGTGGAAGTTGGGAGGGAAGTCCCCGCGAAAAGGGACAACTGTATAAGTAGCTTATTTGTTATTGTAGATCGTTAATCCGATGTTTAAGCAGCCAGAAAATATTCCGTCCGTGACGATGAGAGTCTTGGATGTCTTTTGAAAAGGGCGACGGTGCCGGCCGCTTAGCATATCGTAAAAGCGTAACTGCGCCACGAAAAAGCGAGTGGAAGTCGGTAGATGGGGGAGACACGCGGGATACGCGCGCGTCATGTATCGCACCATAAAGATTACTACCAGCTCGGGACTTTATTGTCACGCGTTATAAATGATGTCGCGGACGTACGCCAAATATTCAAATGACACTTTTATCCGCGGCTCCTTTCGGGCGGAAGGATTTTGGCGGATCGTACACAGAAGGAGAATCCGAATAGACTCGAGGGAACGATGTTTCTTTATTGAAAAAGACATTAGGCTACGTACGTTAAGTTGCGCCAATTTTTTGTGAGCAAAACCAATGTACGTACTACAAATATCTTGAAAAACGCTACATATATCGCGATTTTCACTTCCTCATCTTATAATTCTTATTTTAATCATAATTTTTTGCAATTATAATATTTATCACAATGTAAATTTTTTTCAGAGTTGGGCTCAATCCCCATAGCTTGTTCCTCACCTTTCGGTACCTACAGTTCCTATTTTTGGTCGACGCAACCGAGGGCGGAGCAGTTGATACGGAAATGCGGCGATTTCTCAAGGTATTAAGTGAGCCCGCGACCTTTCATATTAATAACAATAATAGTACACGACGTCAAGCGAGAAAGAGAGAAAGAAAGAGAGGAGGGGCGGGGAAAAAGAGGAAGGAGAGCAGGCTGTAATCTGGCTACGAGCGAGGGATGAGGGCAACTTTTGAAGCCAGATACAAATTACACCTCATTTTTATGCCATTTTAATATCGCCACGCGTCATTAAATATCCCCTTGCTCCTCTAACCCGCGACTCCACCGTGCAACCATGGTATATCCTATATACTTTCGTAATGGCATCTTACAGGGAATGAAATATTCGTACGCACCCATTAGCGTCTCGAAGGCGGAAGCCTGCGAAGCCACAGAAATCGCACGAAGGAAACGTAGCGGCAATGAAAAATCGAGACGATTTTAAAAGCCGCCGCTGATGACGCGCCCCGGGACGAAAAAAAGGATCAGAGGCTATAAGCGGGTACGCTTGTATTGTCGGTATCGGCTTAAGCGTGCTAGAATTAATAATAAAATTTACACAAGAATCAGCTAAAGAAAGATTTATGTTAAACTCCCCTACGAATTCAATCTTAATAATATAAAAAAAATTAAAAATTAAAATTCAAAAAAGTTCTGATACTTTTTTACGTATAAATGAATATACTATTTCATAAATATTTATAAAGCTCCATTTTTTCAACGTTACACCTTATCATCATTCGATTAAATTATAAAGTTGAAAAAAATATCTGTAAATTACTGAAATAAAATTATACGGTACCTAAAGTTTCAAAAGGAAAAAAATATCGTTAATTAACAGACTGTTACCGCAAAGTTCCACTCTGAACATTTTCGCAAAAGATGTAATTTCACGGAAAGAAATTTTTTATGCTCATATCGTATTCTAAATTATGCTAATTTTCCGAAGAAAAAGACGAACGAATTACGTAATTCGGGAAAGAAATTCTTCTCTTGAACGGATTTTTTAGCACAATTCTCGCTCGTTATAATATCGTATACGAATCGAATATGTTCATAACTTGCATTTATTGCGACGTTTTATTTGGCCTATTATTCGGCGAATAGACTCCACCATACGCAAGAATTTTATGTCACAACTTTTACGAGCTGGAAAAACGCATTTTGAATTGGGACTACGAGAATTACGGGATCTTCTATCTCGGAAAAGCGTAGTCTTTTCCATATCATACGAATCAAACGATATTAACTTTTATTTCGTAATGTTTGTCCCCTTCATAGTTTTGCTCGTATGCAGTTAACCGAAACCGTTTTTTCTGAATATACGACAAAATTGAGAAAATGTAAAAGAATCACAAATACACAGACACACATGATAATCACTTTGATTACTGACTTACCACTTTGTGAGCCTTCACTAGAAGCCAAAATGTGAGCCTTTGTGAGTCTTCACACTGCCAAAATTATAGATGCGGAAGCCTGAAACAAACAAACTGGTTAATTAATTCTCTTAAAAAGAATTATTGATTTTTATTAGAAAAAAATGTTCCAAAGAAAATGTTTCTTTTTCAAATATTATTTATAAATAAATATTTTTAATTAAATGAAATATTAAGTACTAGAATGCGCTATTAGAAACATTAGAAATCCGCATAATACATTTTGGGAAGAAGCTACGAAGTGCAAAATTCTTTAGACTGCTTATTCTGAGAGAGTAAAAGGGTTAACGAGACGGAAAGAAAAACAGAGCGAAGAAGAATTAACATGTCTTCTCAAAGAGTAGAAGGATACAGTTTCCTAATTTTATTCCGCGAAGTGGACGCTCTTCAACCGCCGGCCGAATTGGACCGAGGGGTGCATCCTTTAAAAGAGTGCTCGCGCGAGAGGCTCCGAAAAGAGGAGGTCAAAAAAAAAACGGAAGGCAAAATCCATCCCTTTCTCACCCTCCCTATTTATTATATTATACCAGCGCGCTCCTCTCGTACGCCAGCTTTCCTTATACCTGAATTGAAAATCTCTCTGCACGTGCGAGATGTATGCGCACCGGCGGCTCTAAGCAAATCGTGTTATCCTATGCCCAGCCAGTCGGCCATCTCTACGCAGCCCGAGAGGAATTAAAATAAATACATATCTTAATTAAGCTCCGGTGTGCCATCTACTGGGTGACCGAAAATGCTACAAAGACAGAATGCTCACATTAAAGTGTATCGAAGCTTCATTTGAAACCAACCAAACCAAAACAATGACAACAAGAGCATTATCAATCAATATTACTATTTAATAGTAATTGAATAGAAACAGATAGGTAAACAGAAGCAAACATTGCTATAAAATAAAGCGGAAAAATATATTGGTAAAAATTCATGCGAATCTATAATAATATATTGTATATCTTCAGAGATATAACTTTTTAATCTTTCTTATCGCGAAGAAATGTCGGAAAATCATGTCCGATCACCCGGTATATTCGTATTATACATATGGAGCCATCGCACTCGTTGCTTTATTCCCCTTTATATGCACATTCGAATATCCGCAGGCTGCATCTCAAACTTGATTCTCTCAGTCGGAGCGTCGGCAGGCAGCGTTAAGAGTTTCAGTTCGTCCCTCTGCGCATGTTTCCTATATTTTTCCTTCCTCGCCGCGTCGCCGCGTCCACTCGGAAAAATATATTCGACGAGGAAGATGGGGAAAGAAAAAAGGACGAGCCGGCAGCTCGCGGTGTGCACGCGAAGCTTTTTAAGTGGGCGGCGCCGAGTGGCATAAGAAATTCGGTGAAATTTCGCGCAAAACGGAAAAAGAGCCGCGGGCGTATTGGGTTACGCGAATTCAGAAATCCGAGACTTTATGAATGATAAAACGTCGGAAAGGGGGAGGGCCATGGCCCACCTCATCGTCGAAAGGAAGGTCCGACAACGCGGTGAAAAAAGACAGAGGGACAAGCGCGGGAAAGAGAGCGAGGCGAGCGAGCCGGTTACCGCCTGGTCGTATAATTAATTTTCGTCGAACGCGAAATCCGTTTAACATACTTTCCGAAACTCTCTAGCCGGTTTCGTGACGAGCCCGGAACAATTTTTTTCAAAGGGCGCGCCGCCGGCTGCCTCGCCCTTTCGCCCCCGCGCTTCCTATCCGCTATCGTCCACCCCTCTTCTTCCTTCTGCGCGCGGTACACCCCGTGCTACATTTGTGAACGGTGCTTAAGGTCACCGGCCGCGCGAAATCACGCGACTAAGTTGCAACGGTAGCCCATTACGCTCGTTTTCGACATGTAAACACGCGACTGGTGCAACTTCGTTTGACGTGCAGAAATTAACGTACAGCGATCCAAAACTGCGAAAGAGAAGGCGAGGGAAAAGGAGGGGATGGGGGAGAGGAACGGGTTGAGGACGCGAGAGTGGAGGGAGATGGACGCGGATGGACGTAACTAGACGTACTTATTATTATTTAGGGGTGCAACGCCAGTGTGGCCCTTCCGAGCTGTCAGTTTCGCAGAGGCGAAATTACATATTCCTCGCAACGACCGCGTCGAGACGTGCGAGCAGTACGAGACGAACGGGGACGGACTTTTTATTTCGCCGTTGCCTTTGCTGGCCGCGCGCGGCGGTGTCAAAGCGGCCGGTTCTCCTCAAAGTATAATTATTTTAGTTACAATTAAAAATGTGCAGACCCGCCGGCGACGCGCTCTCGCTTCGCGCCGTGAAAGCGCTTCGGACTTGACCGCCTCTCTGCGCCATCAATCTTTCTTCGTATTGTCGACGTGCGCGAGCTTTTGTGTTAATGTCAAAAGAAAGCCGCCGAATTAAGACTAAGAGTTCGCAAAAAAATAGTACAACAATCAAATTATCAATATAATCGAAATAAAATGTAACATTCTGTTCAAATTGGATGTTACAATATTTTTTTATATATTTATCGGGCATTATCTCAGAGTGCAACGCGTATTATATTATTCATATTGTTCAAGTATTTTTATCTCTATTTTCATTCTTTACAATAATATTCATCGTGATACTTATGTAAACAAAAACAAGTAATATCACGTAAATATTAATTAAATAATGCCTAAAAATTAATTAAATAAAAACTGATATGTTTCAAAGCTATATCTTTGTATCTATATTTGTATTGTATTGTGATTGATTTGGACTATGATATAAAATTAATGCAGATTACGAAAATAATAAACATAGTTAACTTAGAATATTGTAAAGATTTAACGCGATCGAACTTCACGAATCGAGAAAAGAACGCGGACAAGGCTACCGGTACGCAATTACTCTTAACGAGGACCCTACAGAAAAATATGACCCGATAGCAAGAACTTTCCCAATTTTAATCCGTCATTCGAGACTGGCTACGCCGAGAAAAAAAGCCGCAACTTTCGTCCTGTAACAAGTTGTTGTTTAAGGGAAGAGCAAATAAAGGGACGCGGTACCCCTCGCTGAGGTTGCGGATGAGGAAAAGAAGGAGCGAGGATCGAAAGACGAAGGAAGGAAGACCGAAAGAGGATCGGGAAGTGAACCATAAATAAAGGAATTAGTTTTTAATGGACGTTAGTCACTATTAATTGTGGAAAGTTAACCCCTTCCTTTTTCAGTACGTTTTCTTACCCTCTCCCTCTCTCGTCCTTCTTTCTCCCCTCTCCCCCATCTGTCCCTCCTCGTATTCCTCCGGGAGATCGCGCTTGTCCTTTGAGACTGACGAGAACGTGGTGGCAAAGGAATGAACGAACAGCAAAGGTACAGCAGTCTCGAAGGGGCTGAAAAAGCGCCGAGGAAACAAGGCGCAGTCTTTATTTTACATTTCCACGGACCATTCTTTCTTTGTGCGATAATTAAGTAAGCTGAAGCCAACCGCTGGCCGGTCGTCCATTCATGTTCGCCCCGAGGTAGGTTGCTGGCCAAGAAAGGGTTTAAAAATTATCTTCCGTCAGTTTATCCTCACTTGTGAATTATTTTGCGACTGGTGGATGGTTCTTAAGATAAAGTCGATTAAAATGAATATCTTGTTATACTTGGATTGCAACTTTGAGAAATTGTAAAATGTAATTCTTATCTCCACATTTTTTTTATCAGTTAATGTCCGCGCTAAATATTTTTTGCAATTGACAGAAATGAGTTTTAAAACAAAATATAATCGAAATAAAATACCAATTCCCTCTGTCTTTTTGTTGTTTTAAGGTCTTTCTTATTCTTTAAGTCCATAAAAGTCATCATATGATAAGACTTTGCTCTCAATACACGATTCTTCGTGAGCTACAACGCGTCAGGCGAGTCCCAAAACTTGGCATAAGAGAAAATCGTACACGTGCAGACGATCGCGCACACCTATACAAGATATTACATCTCGCAGACTGGAGCACGGCGGAGTTATATTAGACAGGAGCGAAGAGCTCTGGTGGCAACTGCCGTCTTTCACTTCGCACTGAAACCCCGTGCGCCAAGAATCTTGCTAATTAGATATATAAGGAAGCTAATTGTAATAAGGTGGAGTCGGGTGTACACGAGAGAGCCCTCAGCCTCCTCATCTCGCCCATCCACCCCTTCCCCTCCCTCTCTTTCACTCACCGGCACACGCACAACCCCGGTACATGCGTACTTTCCCTGACATTCGTACTCATCCGCGACGCTTTGAAACCGAAACTGCCGCTGAAGAGATCCCGACGAATCGCGCTCAAAGTAAGCGCAATTAATTTGAATGACGGCACGGTCTGTGAGTATTGCATGAAATTCGGTTCGTGACGGAAAAACTGGAAAACGAAGTAAAACGCTTTCAGAATATGATACTACCCGAAAGGCATATCAGTATCTTCATATCGTTATTTCATTATGTTTTCAATATTTCTTATAAAGAATTTAATAAATTAGCATTTAATCTCTTTGCATACGCTTATTGGCTTTTGTGAATATTATGGTCAAAATTAATAACTTATAATAATAGCTAAAAAAACGTAGCACACATAATATAATAATGTATAAAATTCTCTGATGACAATTAATATAAATAAGATTAATCTCATTTTCCTTATTAAACTTATTTTATAAACAATTTATAAATCCCAACAAAATTTCTCGGATAAAATCCTATCTAATTTTATACATCATACTGTATAGAAAACATTTAGAGTAATAAAACGCACGAAATGTATATTAGCATAGACATATATACGACTGTATATGTATGTCGCATAAAATTAAGAAAAGATTTGTTTTTAAATTTTTCGAATTATATCTAAAATAATAATTTTTAAATACAAAAAAGATTTCGCTTTAATATCTCGTGGACTAAAATTACACAATATAATGTTCTATCAGTCTATATATATAAGTATACATTTATATCTGTCGTAAGATTGAAGAAGTTATTTTCGCCCACTAAGAGAAGCTATGATCCAGTTTATTAATGGATATCATTTACGACACCTATTTAAGATTTCGGTCACTCCACGATCACATCAAAAGCATTTGAGATCCTTTAGG